CACCCTGTGCCAGGGTCTCACCTACCTAAACTAAATATTTCCTCTTTCAGTTTCCTCAATTCTCATGAACCAAAAACTTGTCAGGGAAGATTGGGTGTGCTTCACATTCAAATTCCATCAGATTTGGGAAATCATGGAGACGTCAGATGGAAATGCTGGTCTCTCCAGCCTCCCCTTGGCTCCATACCTTCATCACCCAGCCGTGGAGGGGCTGTGCAGGCATAACCAACCGAGGATATGAGTGTGCACAAGCTGCTGCTGGCTGGTAGAAAGCAAACCACTTTCTTGCCTGCATTGCTTCTTCCACGTCGGTGAGTCCAGGTCTCCATCCCTAGCCAGTCCTATTCCCCATCCCTTTCCATCTTCCCTTCCCTTTCCTCTGCTCCTGCTAGCTCCCAAAGGCAGGGCCATTTTGAAGCAAATCTCTGTCTCTTTTGGTCTCTTCTCTGCCAATCCTTGCTTTTGCCAGGGCTCCATGCCATGTGTCTTCCTTGTTCTCTAGCAACTTGGTTTTCAGTTGTGCCTCTTGCTGCCTTAGGTCTATGTCCATCCACCTTCATAGCTCAAAGTGAGCTGTGCTCCTGAGGCTCTGCAGGAGATGAGGGACCTCTTGCCCACAGCAGAAAGAGCAGGTAACTGCAATTCTTCAACAGCTTTAAAGGCCTTATGGAGCTTTTAATTGCAGTTCTAAGTTGTTCTGTGATCTGGCCAAAGTTGGGTGGATTTTAATGGGGATAGACACTTTCTACCACAAAGGCTGCCCTGCTGCCAAATTTCAGAATTCCCCTTCTGAAGCTGGAGATGCTCATAGAAAAGGTTGTCTGCATTTATTTAACATGTGCCAAGTGGTGTGTTTTCCCCTTTATAATATTCCTGGAAATGGCTGAACTATTTTGGCTCAAGCAGATGCCGAACTGCTTGGAACCAAATTCTCAGTGCTACGAATTGGCAAAGCCAAGTAACGTGCCATTTTGTGCCGTTGACACCAGGGAAGGCTGAGCACTGTGGCAGCAGGGAGGAAGGTGGCACTGCCGCTCAACTCCAACCAACAAGGGTTGCTTTTAAGGAGCTGCCAGCTCGAAGCCAGGGAGGAACATCCTTGTGCTCATGTGCCCAATGAAGTCTGTACCTTCATCTTAGATAGCAAACATGGCAACCCAGGAGCATCAGTGCTGCTTCCAGCTGCATTGAGCTGTTTAAATCCACCCTTTAAACCATCCAGGCTCGATCCCCCAAACCTGTATCACTCCTGGCCTTAAGGCTGGATCTATATGTGGAATCTATAGGTATGTATTGCCACCTTGGTGCTCAGTTCCCACCTTGGAAGTCCAACTGCAGAACCCTCCTGTGCCAAACAAGAGTGTCCTCCATGGATGTTTCACTATACAGGTATGTCTTTGGGGCTGAAGCCTTACAGGGCTGTGATGTGAATGAGGATAAGGCTCCTTCCCTCTTCTCTGCTCCGTCCTGGCTCCATTCTCTGTCTTTAGGACCCAAGGCACAGTGACATAGAGCTCCTGCTCTCTTTCCTAGGTATATATGTTTTGGTACACAAACAGACTGTGAAATGCTCACCTTACCAAGTTGTTTTTTCCACAGGCAATACTGTATTTTGGGGGGCAGAGATGAACTTCCCATCTCTGGAATTTCTTGGTATTTTAAAGTGAAAATGACTAAAGGAACGACTGAACAAACAAAGCCTGTTACACTTAGAGAACGATGTGCCTGCTGACCCCAGCACCCCGAGCTGGGTTATTGTGCCCTCTCCAAGTCCATGCTGTCCAAGTCCTGTCTATAATTACAGCCTCCTCAAACAATGCTGGCACCGGAGTATAAGCCCAGCACATTTGAGCTGCAGAGCTGTGAATATCTCTTTTTGTGGATACAGCGCTTGCACTCTGTGGCTTTGGGCTCAAGCTTATGTCAGTGTTAGTGCAGGGCTAATAATAGCCTCTACAGACAGTTTGAGAAGTTGCTTACCTTTCCCTGGGGATATGAGTTTGTGTTCCCTACCTTTAGATACACAACCTGTTTGTGGGCTTGACTGTGTAACAAATGGTGTGAGAGTAATCCTTGCTTTTATATATATAATGTGTGTATGTGTATATATATTTATATATATATAATGTATATATACATATGAGGGTTTTGTCCTCCTTTAAGTTCTGATTTGCCCGCTTGGTTGTTGTCTGCCTGTTTTCTCCAGTGCCACTGACTTCATGGCAGGTCATTGACCATAACCAAAGTTAAGGTGATGGGCAAACAGCAGCCGCTGTGCTTGGTAGACCAAGCTGACCCTGCCACTGCTTTGGTAGGAAGAAGAAGCTGTTTCAGAAGAGCACATCCATCCTGAGCGTGCCTCTGGCTTTCATGCACACAAGGGCTGCTTAGAGGAGCCCCTTGACCGTGTGCTGCCTCTTCGACCTCTGCCACTCTGACTGATAACGGTGAGTGTGGTTTGTGCTGGGGCTTTGTTCTCCACTCTACAGAGAGCAGCATTAAACTGCAGAATGACTAAGTGCCTTTCCAAAGGCCACATAATGAATCAGTGAATGAACAACAACCCCAGCAGCTCCAGGCCCCCTTCTCCGCGCAGAATAATGCCTCTGTCCCTGTACCAAGTTGTGCACGTAGCATACGTTGCATACAGAATTATGTATTTCAAAAGGAACATGGATATTAATATTTACATTGAAGCAATGCCCCTGTCCTCTGGGCTCCGTAAATAGCATCACCACAACCATGTGAATGACTCCTGGTCAATGAAATAGGTCGTCAATGCAAGATGCAATTGCTGCACAAAAGTTTGACAGCTACATTCGTTATATATGTCAATCCGAGGATCCTAAAGGCTTTATTGTCACTGTACAATGTCTGAGCAATCTGCTAGCCCAATATGCCACGAAGTTATTTTCTCACTACTCCTTTCATTTAACAAATAGCCATGATAGCTGTTGTCAAACGGCCTCTGTTGAGGAGAGCTGCCTGAACAGCAAAGGAACCTTAGGTTTTCTTGGGTGTCTGTGGGCTGGAGGCATTCCTGGCTGAACTCGCTGCTCTGGGCTAGCATATATCGCAGTGCCTACAGTGGGTGGGATCTGGTCAGAAACACAGGACACACAATGCAATTACTGCACAAGGGCCAGAGCGGGCTGAGGCTGTGGAGATGGCATGGTGAGTTAGAATGGAAAAGTTGTGCTAAAGAGGAGAGAATTTAACCACTTAACCTGCTTTTTGTCTGATTTTGCTGGATATTCAAGCTCCTCTGTCCCATCTCCCCCCAGGTTAGAATCACAGAATCACAGGATGGTTTGGGTTGGAAGGGAACTTACAGCTCATCCAGTTCCAACCCCTGCCATGGGCAGAGACACCTTCCATTAGGGCAGCTTGCTCCAAGCCCCTGTGTCCGACCTGGCCTTGAACACTGCCAGGGATGGGGCAGCCACAGCTTCTCTGGGCACCCTGTGCCAGCACCTCAGCACTCTCACAGGGAAGAGCTTCTGCCTAAGAGCTCATCTCAATCTCCCCCTTGTTTAAACCCATTCCCCCTTGTCTTGTCCCTGCAGGTTCTTGTGAGATTAGGACTAGCCTTTTAAATTGTCCCCAGTAAGTTTCCAAAACGTAGGGTTTGCTGAGATCTTGCTCTCAATGGACTCCTTCCAGCCTGGGGACGAGCTTTGTGTCTGAATTTCTTTTCCAGCCTTCTCTCCTCTCTGAACCTGTCAGACCCCATTTACCATGTGCAGTAATAGGGGCAGAGGGTCGGACTAGGGGCGGCTGCTTCCATTGGAGGCAAAACCAGGCGCGGGCGCTCCCGTGGATGATGCCGCATCCCGGCGGCTCGGGGTTGCCCGGCCCGGGGGACCCGGGTGCCAGCACCGGGAGTCCCCTCAGCCTCGCAGCGAAGCTCGGAACAGCCGCGAGAGGGAGCTTCCGCAGCTCTGCCGTGAGCGGCCGCGCATCCCGCTTCCCTCCCGCTTCCCTCCCGCTTCCCTCCCGCTTCCCTCCCGCTTCCCTCCCTCCGGACAGTGCTGCTGCAGCAGGCAGTAGGGAAGTCACCGTGGGAGTTCACCTACCAGCATCCTCCTTGCGGTTCAGGTGCCGTGCTGTGGTCGTGTGTCACGACAGACCGTATCACCCCTGGTTTATGAGGGTTTCGTAACTTGCCAGCCTTAATTTGCTCTGTGCTGGGGCCTGAATTAAGTTTCTCAATTCAGAATGGTTTGGAGGTTGGTTGTTTCCTCTAAGCAGTCAGCTTGGGTCTCAGTGTGTGCTGGTGTGTGGCTCTGCTGTCAGACCCTGGCCATAGGTACCGCAGCAGCAACAAAGCCTCCGGAAGGTGCATCCTGCACATGCCCTTGGATGCACCTTCCTGATGGCTGCTTTCGGGGTGAGATGATGCTTTTCACCTGGGCTAAAGGGCACTTTCCAGCCGCTGGCCTGTAAGTGTTAAAAACAGTCCCACTCTTAGGTTTGTGAGTGAGCCGTGGGGATGCTCTATGAGGATGCAGGCAGGGACGTTGCAGCAGGAGCGCTGATCGTGACAGCTAGTGTTTGTACTGAAAAAGCACGGCAGAGAAATGGAAAAACTGAGATGTTTAAAGAATGGTGGCGTTAATTCATGTGCTGAGAGCTGTGCTGCCCACTCACCATCCCCGAAACTGTGACATTTCCCTGAGGTGCGCTGCTTGCTGCCGCATCATGTGTTTGATCACAGGCAAAATTAAACATGTTTTTGTTATCAATAGGCTCCACAAGTAACTTCGAGGCACAAGTAGGCGTGAAATACACAGACCAACACTTTCCACAGCGTTGAAGTTTGTAGTTTCTGGTACGTTTCCCTCCCTTCTTTTTGAGCTCCTGCACAGACCACTTCTGTTAATGCTTTAAGTAATGACCATTGGTGTGGAAATAGCGTAGAGGTCTTTCAGCACAGTTACTTTATGGTAAGCTCCAAATGTAACCCAATAGATTGTTACCTGTGACAGGCTGAGAGCCAACACAGCCATCTTTCATTTCAGCTCTGCAGGATTGAAATCAATGGAATTAGGTGATACCAATGGGATGCAAAAGGCTTTCTGCAAGCAGAGTGGGCTGTGCTTTACGTGCTAGCCCACCTCTGGCCAAGGACAGGCTTTGTGGTGTGTGGATGCCATGATAAAGACATTGCAAACGCTTTTCTTACTGTTCTAGGAGCTCCAGTTGCTACTCTTGGTGCAAACACAGAGAAAACCCTACCCAAGCCTGAAGCTGTGAGTATTGCTGCTTTAGCTTGTTCATTCTGACCCTAAAGGAAACCCTCCCGAAGGACCTGGGGGATGCATCCAAATGAGCAGTGAAGAAGAAGGGTACCCAGCTCTGTGGCTTTTGTGAGCACAGAGGTAGTGTTGACTGTCTCATTTGCTCTAGGGGGAGAAAAGAATGGTTCCTAATAATCTTCATCTTTACTTGGCACGTTTGGTTTGAAGAAGATGGAGGTGAAGGATTGATCTAGAGGCCACATGGAAAAGCAAGAGAAGTGTGTAAGTGGCTGTGCAGTTAGTGGGGGAGCCAGTGCTTTTGACACTGGTGCCTCACCACTGGCCCTTTCTAGGGCTTTCTTGGTAAGTCAGCTTGTTGAAACTGCTGCCCACCAGCTTGCTGCTTTGATCACAGCCAGCTGCTTCCCTCAGTGCCCATTGTTACCTCTGCTATCATGGTGCAGGGGAGGTATGCCTATGGGGTATCAGCATCTCTTGTTCAGCCATGCTGTGCCTTCCTCACCCCCCCGCAACTCGGGGTGCAGCAGCCTCCCCATCACACCACTGGCTTCTTCCCATTGTCCAAACCCATGAATCCCTGCATCCTTTTGGCTGGTATAGGAAGCGGTCCTTCCTGAGCCCTGGCTGCAGGCACTGGCACCATGCAGACCTGGCTCCTCCAGAGCTGAGGCTCTGCCCTTCCTGCCAGGACCATGCATGCTTCTGCACCGGCAGCAGCTGGCAAGTCATGGAATATGGATCAGCATGATTTGCTTTTCATTTCTGCATTATCTTGTGCAGCTGTCCTGGAAAGGGTTGGAAACCAGCTCTGGAAAAGGCTGCAGTAGTTTTCAGTGAAGAGTTCTGCTGTGCCCTGAATTATTTATAAGCATCAGGATGTAAGGACATCATGTTCACCCTCCAGCACTGAGAAAGGCTGCAAATAATCTAATATATTACTCATGCAAAAAGTAAGTTTGTTTGCAAGTTTTGAGACTTAAAAAGGGGGAAATACCAGAAATAAGGCTGCTGCTTAGTATTTTGTATATCAGGCAGTTTGTTTGGTCAGGCAGTTGGACCAGATGATCACTGGAGGTCCCTTCCAACTGAAATATCCTGTTTGATGTTCCTGATGGCACAGCACAAGTGTAACAGATTTGCTTCCCACCCCTGCCCTGCTTGCTCCCACCACCTTTCATTGCAACTGGTGCTGCTCAGGGGATGAATCTGAGGCAGGCTGCTGCCTACATGGGCCACATGCTGCCCCATGCAGAGGGATGCTGATGTTTGGCATCTGGATGGTGTCAGGAAAAGCAAGCTTCTCTCCCTACTCCTGGTTTGCAGGGGGCTGACGGATAAAACAGGGAAGCCAATCCAGGGCAATTTGGTGCTGCACAGGCAGGGTTGTTGTCAGATCACTGGGATGCATCATCCACTGGGCATGTTTGCTCAGAGCTTGGTGCGCTGAATCACTGGCACATCCTTGGGACTCTTGTGCTCCTCTGTAACTTAATCTACTGCATTGCAGAGAAGCTCAGAGGCTTCAACAGGTTTTAAAGTCCTGTTGTGTCCTGCATCATATAAAAATGATCTAATCCCCATCGCAGCCTCACTCGATCTAAACAAGCTGCTATTACACTGCATCAAAGGGTAGTTAAAGGTGTTCCATCAGCCTCAAGCTGGAATATGGAGCGCCAGCATAGAGAAGTCAGCGCTGTTCTTTTAACCGGTGTCTGAATGTCAGTGATGTCCATGGTTTGACCTAGTGGTCTCAGAGCTCAAATCACTGCTTCCACCTGGGCAAACACAGGTTAAGAGGGTTTCTGAGATGTTCTGATGCAGTGAGAACAGGACTCTGGAGGCCACAGCTGGAGAGAAGGATATCCCAGAGGAACATGGCCCCTAAGGGGCAGCAGTCTCTGTCCTCCACCAGCTGCTAGCAGTGCTGATCCTCACTGGCTGGGTAGAACAGTGCCTTGTTCTTCACGCAAGTCGGAGAGCAGGGAAAGGTAACTGCCAGGTAAGGTCATGAATGGCTTCATTCTCAACTGAACCAAGAGCTATCAGCTCCAAACTTTGAGTGATAAAGTCAGAAACTTCAAAGCCAAAAACTTGTGTTTTAAAATACTCAGCAGGAGAGAAGGGGGGATTAAAATAGAGATTAGTCCGTGTCGTATCTTTAAAGCTGGATGCGTGCCCATCGCTCTGGTTCTGAATTGCTTCTCAAGCTGGAAGGCATGTGGATGAGAAATCTTGCTAAATACCAGATCTCATAGGATTTCTGCTGCTTAAAATTAGTCACGTTGCAAGACTTGGATGCTATCAAGACTTAGTCCTGTTTTAAAGTGAAGACTTACTTTTAAAATGAGCCTAACACTTAATTTGAATTGGGTCTCTACATAGCACCTCTTCCAATAACACCTGATGGTGGAGCTATAAATAAGTAGTACCAAGTATTACTTTAACTGTGTAAAAGCACTGTCTATCCCCAGTAGTGAGCCACAGCAACATCCTGGCACTGCTTGTGCTTATGGGACCTGTGGAAGCACCTCTAACATTGAGCCTGTGCTTGTTACACAGCTGTCCTAATGGGGCTATCCTAATGTGTAGCTCCTTTGGCTGTTACAAGAAAAGGAAACTGATTTTTTTTCTCTTTTTGGGCTATTTCTTACACTTATTTTGTGTTGCTTTTAGTTGAAATGCAAATACTTAGAGGAGCTTAGGTGGTACTTTTGTATGAAGGCTTTGCGGATGGCTTCATGTCCTTCAGGTCCTTCATCCTAAAGGGACTTGAAGCACCCAAGCACTAGGGAATATCAGAATGAAAAGAATGAGATTAAATGATGTGTAAATTCAATCCCTTGTATTGTGCATTGCAACAAAGCCTGTGGGTGTGCTGTATGCAGAGAAGAGCTGAGGAATGTGCCAGTGCAGCTGGATGCCAGAATTCCTGCCCTTCTCTTTCACACAAGGGTTTCTTGGGCCTGTGATTTGCTTTTCACCAGGCTCAGGGCCTGATCAGGTTTGTGGGGATGCCAAAAAGGGCATCCCTCACTGCAGCAGTCTGTGGCAAATCCCAGTCTCAGGCTTTGCTTTGGAAGCTATTAGATTATTCAACAAAATTATGGGCAACCTCAACCTGGGCCAAAAGTACACTTTGGAATCTCATCTTGGTGATGACTGAGACGTCTTCACTGCTTGCAAAGCAATATGGCATTGGTATAGAAAAAAGGTCTATGTCTTGACAAAGTCAGAGGCAGTTGAAAATAAGGTAATGTGAAGGCACATACCAGGCAGCTTGTGATTACAGGTGGCCCTACCACCATCTGCAATAATTCTTTGGTTGAATGCTTACAATATCATCTCTCAAACTCTTAATAGTTTAGTTGTTTAATGCTCAGACAGCAAAACATGAAGTGCATTTGGGGGTGAGATTTGGTGGTGACAGCCTGTTCCCATCAGTGCTGTAAGTCTTGTAAAGCTTCAGCTTTGCATGCCTTCAACTAAAATTAATTGGCCCTATTCAAATAATCTCTTAAACACAGACCTAAGCTCTCCTGGAGGTCTTTGGGGCTTAGTTAAGCCTTTAAGTTAAATCTGTGTTTCTTTGGATTCTTCAATATATTTTAGTATTAGAATATTTATTGATTTCTTCAATAAATATATTTTAGTATATACTTATAACTGCTCTCATGCTATAGTATTAGAATGAAATTTGGGGTTTTGTGGAACATGGACACAAGCTTGGTTGTTTTCTTATTTTAGGCATTACATCTCTGTGGGCCATTTTGAAGTAGGTGTTGTACACAAAATGATGCTGTTCTGTACAATCTATTTGTGTAGGAATAGGAACATATTTTCCTACCTATTAAGGAGTGCTCTGATGCAGGGGATGGTTTATTTCTAGCTGTGTTTTCTTTCTAGCCCTTTTTTTAGTGCTGTCAGTCTTGTCCTGTGTTATTAGGACAGTAGTTTTCAACACCACCCACTCTTAGTTGTAGAGCAATGAGATCATTTAATTTTTCATTTGTGCTTTGCAACTTTGGTCTTTTTTCTTGATACAGGATGGAAAAAAACCCAGGAAACTTCATAAATCTTGCTAATCCAATGATGCAGGGTGGGTTTTACTGTTTTTCATAGAACTAAAATAGCTCTAAAAATGGAAAATAGGTCATTTTGTGGCAGAACGGTTGAAATGGTACATGTAAATCTTACTAAAGCTCTCTGTTATCAAGAGGCTGATAATCATGAACTGTGATTATTTCCCCTAAGCTGCCACATTTCACTTTCAGCTGTTCAATGTTTTCCAGCAACTTTCAACAACCCTAATCGAGTGCAATACAAAGTTTCTTTGCAAATAAGAAACCCTGCAGGACTTCACCAACTGCAACCGGTCTGTTTTCATCAGTTATTCTTATCTTGGTATGAGTGTTTTGGCTGATCTGTCTGTGTCCAAACACGCTTTCCCAACGTGTCCTGAGCAGGTGATCTCTTCTTGTCTTTGTTTCCTCTTAACAGGCCTCACATGAAATCTTGCTCACGCTTCTGTTGTGCCAGATGCATAGAGCACATCTGCCTCTCAGTAAGCAGTCATGTTAATGGAAGTAATGCCTTCTCGAACTGGGAATTTAGGATAACGGATTCGGGAGCCTTCATTAGGTAACACATAGTGTGGCAAAGCACAGCTTTTGTAAGCGCAGCACCCAAACAGATGCAACTTTGAAGATGCTCAGCAATAATTTAGAGCATGCTCTCCAAGTCTGGATACCATAGCTGCTGATTCCCAGAAGGGAAAATATTGTATTTTTATGTGCTCTGACCTTATCTTTGAACCATTCTATATAAATTCTTTACCTTACTCTGATACATGCACACATTTTAATAGAGAGAGAAAGCCTGGAAATTAGCTGACTGAAGATGTGCAATTAAAACCAGTCAAGACTGAGCATGTCTCTAAGTGGCAGAGTTTTATTCCCCCTCCGTGCCTCTTCTTCAAGAATTTCTATCTTTTCCATCCTTTGCACAAGGAAGTCAAAGAGGACTTGGCATCGTCAAAAGTGTGTTTGCATCTAGCCCAAGGATGTTCCCATAAAACTGGAGATTTAAGTCTTCTAGGAATGTCTGGTTTTAACTGGGTCTTACTGCATTGCCCCAACACAATGTTCTCGGTACAGAGCAAATCTAAACTTGTTGAGTGTGCATCTGTGATACACTTTGGCTTTACAAAGTGTGTTACCAACCAAGTGTGTTTTTCAGAGACCTTGAGTATTGGTCTTACCTGCACTTGTAGGATCCACATGGGACACAGAGCGCTCCCAAATCCTCTCAAGAGAGCCTCTCAGATAGGGGGAAACAGTCTTTCTAGCTCTGTAACCTTAACAAAGATTGCAGTATTCCTTCGGAGCAAAATATGCATGACATCTGGAAGCAATTATTCCTTTAAAAATCACTCTGTGAGTCAACACTGAAAATACTCCGAGCACTGAAAATGAAAACTCATAAACACTGAAGTTTCCAGTTATCCCACAGTCCGAGTGACACACACCCTGGAACAAAGTCATTGCTAGAAAGCCTGAGCAGGGTGGGCACAAAACTGGTCTTGGATTCCAAAGTTGGCCAAGCTCTGCTGAAACAAAGAAGTAGCATTTGTATGAAATCAAGTAGCCAAGGAGGTTTTCTTTCTGTTATTATATTATGGGAGTAGGGGGGGCAAGAAGGAACCAGGTCACACTAACAGACATTGCCCATCAAGGAACTCAACACAGCATTTATGGACTTAGAGCCAAATCATGCCTTTTGGTGGTATGACTCATGGTTATCTTTTCCTTTTAAAACAGTCTAATGTAGGATTGTCACAGGGCTGCAAAACCTACAGTGAAAAAGCAGTGTGACTAGGGTCTTACTGGGCTAGTGAGGGATCACAGATGCTCTGCTGGACTTTGGTGGCAGAGCAGGTTTCAGGACATTTCTG